GCTTCCTTTCTCCTCATTCAGTACTTGACAATCTGCAATCTGGCTTCCAACTTCATCATTTAGCTAAAAATACTCTCTTTAAAAAAAAAAAAGCAATAATTTCTCAATTGCCAAATCTAATGGCCTCTTCTCAATCCTCATCCTTTTTGACCCCACTATAATCTTTGATACTGTCCACAACCCTCTTCTCCTTGATACTCTCTTCGCTCTAGGTTTTTGTGACATTACTGTATCCTGTTTTCTCTCCTTCTTCTTGGACTTTTTCCCAGGTTCCTTTGATCTCTTGATTGATCCACAATCTTTGATTAAAGAATGCTGTATTGGTAGCTCAAAGATGCTAAAAGCACCAGATACAGGCCTCTAATAATATTGGTGAATTGTCTCTAGAAAATTTATAGAAGGGCTTTGAACAAAATCACATGAGATGAAAAGACATGCAAGGAGGTAGGACCTAGAATGATGAGCTCATGGAATCAATGAAATATCATGGTACCTGTTGTTATCTGTCTAATTATCCTAAAGAAGGATCTCAAAACGAAGTTCAGTTTAATTTAGGGTTCTATTATGTATAATCCCATTAATAGAAGGTTCAATATAAATTTTTATAATTGCTTTCCATTGTTTACTTAAAAGTAAAAATCAGAAGATACTTTCTTGATGATTGTTCTTATTTATCAGTACAGGAATTTATTGGTTGATTAATGAATGAAACATATGTATGATAACCATCTTCTTGAACCCTGGCATCATCAAGGATGTAGGTAGGAATGGTATTCATGGAATTCCAGAAATGGTGCTGAATTGATGACTGGTTTGTTAACCAAAAGCAAACAAAACTCACATTCAACAGGAACAATGATGCCAATAACAACCCAATTTCTTTCTCTGTATGCACATGTACATCATTTTCTTCCTTGTGCATATACACAGGGAACGTAGGAAGGATTAAATTCTCATGTGTAAAGTCAACTTTCATTATTTAGCCACAAAATAATGAGATTGTGCATAAAAGCATTCTGAACATGGTGAAGAGCAATACAAATAACCAGTGAAAGGTATTTTTCATTTAAATTTTGGTATTGGAGTCCTAGAATGTTAGAGAACCAATTCGCTCATTTTAGACATAAACTTTTTCAACCCCTTCACTTTATGGATGCAGGAATTGAGGCACAGAATTCTCTTGGCCTGCCCTGTTCAAGGTCACATAGCAAGTTCTAGCAAACCTAGAAGTAGAACTCAGATCTCCTGGCTTGTCGTTCAGTAGTCTTTCTACTAGATCATACTTCGTTGTTGTTTAGTCATTCAGTTGTGTCCAACCTTTGTGACCCCATGGACCATATCACATCAATACTGTCCATGGGATTTTCTTAGCAAAGATACTGGTGTAGTTTGCCATTTCCTTCTCTAGCTCATTTTACAGATGAGGAAAGTGAGGCAAACAGGGTCAAATGACTTGCCACCGTTGTGTAATGACTTGCACAGCTGGTAAGCATCTGAGGCCAGATTTGAATTCAGGTATTCCTGATTCCGGACCCAGCACTCTATCCACTGAACTACCTAGCTGCCTCTACCACATCATCGTACTACCTCCCATAGAATTTTCCATATTAAAATGATAAAAGGAGTTAGCAACCTGCTTGAATTTCACTTTAATTAATTTTAATTCTAGTTATTTTTCATCAGGAAAAGTTTCCTAAAGAAGGATTTTAAGCTAAATTATTATAAAGAGCTAAATTCAAGCCAAGAGGTATTTATGAATGATAGATGAAGCACCTCCTGGACAAAGGAAAAAAAGTCAGGTAGTAACAACTTGGGGAAATATTTAGTTGCTAATTTAAAAAAAAAAAAAAAACATTTTACCCAGGACAAAAGAGGCAAAATGAGTGTACCTGGATGTGCTGGAGAATGCACATAAGAGCACAAGTCAAAGTAATGAATGCCTTGAAGCTGATGGAATAGAGTAAATATTTCAAATGTTCGACCATGAATTCATCAACAAAGTTTGAGAAGCAATTTGACAACGAACAATACTTAGGTAATAGAGAGAAGATAGACAGACAGACAGATAGATAGATAGGTAGATAGATAGATAGATAGATAGATAGATAGATAGATAGATAGATAGATAGATAGAAATTCAGTCATTTTCAGTCATGTCTGACTCTTCATGATTCCATTTGGCATTGTTTTGGTGAAGATACTGTGTGAAAGGAGTATACAGTAGACAGATCAGATGAAGAGTACATCTTTGAATGTTAGACACCCTTCAGTGAAGTAGAAATGCTATTGAAAAGTTCATCTTAAAGACTTTCAAATACCTGTTTTGCTAAAGGAAAGCAAGTGGTTGGCCATTGATTCAGAATACAGGCACTGTCACCTCTTCCCTATTTATGTATGAATTACCAGAACATTGGAGAATTTTTTTCTCTTTATTGCTTACTGTGCAGACCTAGCCCATAAGTGGTAAGAGTTTACCTGTAACACACTACAACAAAAGCCCCAAAGTTGGAAATATTTCTTGACCACAGGTATTCATTCATACTCTCCTGACTGGAGTGGTTTGCCATTTCCTTCTCCAGCTCATTTTACAGATGAGGAAACTAAGGCAAACAGGGGTAAGTGACTTGACATGGGTCACACAGCTAATAAGTTTCTAAGGCTAGATTTGAATTCACGAAGATGAGTCTCTCTGACTCCAGGCTTAGCACTCTATCCACTTAGCAACATAGCAGGCTAGATAGATAGATAGTATATATTAAGTGCTTACTATGTGTCAGGCACTGTACTAAACACTGGAGTTACATGTACAATCAAGGAAGACAATCCCTACCCTCAAGCAATTTATATACAAGAGGAAGTAGGAGTCTGGAAGAGAAGAAAGGTAACCACATAGGGACAAATGAAGATGGAAGATTCTGGACAAAAGTCAGGTATAAGTGAAATGAAGAATGTCACCGGTCTTTCTTAAAATTATTGTGCTGGGGGGAGAGAGTCATCAATCTCCTATCAGAGATTTCTTAAGATGGTAATGTGGCTGCTGAAGAGGATGAGTCTAGAAAGATTCTAATGTATGTATTATGTAATATAGGTACAGAGTAGAGAAGGCTAAGTGAAAAAAGTCGACTTGCTCTCCCTATTTCCCAAATTATATCTGCAGTTGGAGGAAGGCCTTGAGCCGCTTCTGCCTCATTCTGTTGGAAAAAGCAAGAATAACACTCATAAAGGGGATTTAAGCTAATCTGGAGAAAAGGTATTATGTTTGTACTAGATGGAAAGAAATTCTTCTGCCCTAATCTGTACAGAGAGTATATTTGGTGAGGATGCATATGTGTATGTATGTTTCTATGTACATATCCTGTCATCTTCCATATAGACATACTTATGTATACACATGCATGTGTATGTACATATATGTATATTTGTGTGTGCATATATATGCATAGGAACATATATACATGAGACAACCTCAAGTGACTGATTGGGGCCAAACCGTGGAGTAATAAGAACCTAGATTCAGATTCTCCCTCTGACATAACACTAGTTGAGCAATCTTTTTCTGACACATGGTAGGCACTTAGTAAATGCTGAATGAATGACTACATTTAAAATCTTACTGCCCCTGTCAGTACTTTAAGACTTTAAGTTACATACAAATTGATACTTTTTATCAGTTGGGGTAAGCTCCACATCAAGAGTTCCCTAGAGAGATGAAATCATAGGTCAGAAACACAAGCAATTTTCAAAGGTTAACACGATTTTCCTCCTCATTTATTAGGGCTATTTACTTAGGTTTCCCAAAGAGCCTTCTTTTTCTCTTCAGAAGTAAAAGTTATATGGACTTTTCCACTTGCCCTTACCCTTTGCTTTGTCCTGTTTTCCATAAACTATTATCTTCTTTAGGAGAGAGTGTGGCTTAGTGAATAAGAGAGTCAAGAAGACCTGGCTGTGTGACCCCGTACATGCCATGGAGATATCTAACTCTTTAAGGTCCAAGAAGTTGCTAGTCTACATTGGTAGGAGTTCCCTTGCCCAAGAGTTCCCTATACAAATGAAATCCCAAGTCCAGTTCCTGTCCCTCTTTTGGTTCATTATGTAAAATGGTCTATTTAGCCAATACAAAGGATTAAATTATAAATTTAAAGACAATACAAATTTGAAACAAATAGTAAATTCATAATAGAGAAAAATCTGGCTCTCTGCCTCATGGTTTTTAGCTCCATGAAGACACCTATTTTTGTAAGATATAACAAAGAACAGTGGCAGCCCTAATTTTTTTTCACTGTTGGGTCCTCTGCTGCTATTTCTATTGACTTGGTTATGGGAGAGCCTAAGGGGATCTGAGCAGAATTTTGAAGAAGGGGAAGGATGTCAACTAGTGGACAGAAGAAAACCCTTAGCTAAAAATCAATTTATCAAAAATCAAAAGTCAGACCTAAAAGAAATAATATTGTGAGCAAATGTGAATTTTAATGAAAAGTGAAAAGTACAACCTACAGAACTCTTTCAGAACACTTCAGATGCATTACTATTATGACACTACAGAGGAGCAAGGCTGGTGGAGGCTTTGTAGCCGACTGGAATGTTCAGGGCACACCTTCTTTGTTGTGTTTGTTTCCTACTGTAACATTCTGGTGGAGAGAAAGTCTGGTAGAGTAGAAAGACCACTGGATTTTGAATTAAAAGACCTGGAAACAAATTCTGGTTTCACCTATCTCCTTCTCCATTTCCTCATCTATGAAAAGAAGATAATAGTACTTATTCTATTTAGCTTAAGGATTGTGTGGACTGCTATCATCATTATTTGTTAGGAACAATTATCATCATCAAAAGTACTTAATAAATGTCTCTTTGTACATTGCACTCTCTAGACCCTATTGGTTTGAATTTGGCTTCTTTGGCCTCTGGTGTTAATACCATTCACCTGATGAGTTGGAATATTTGCAGGGTGAGAGTGCATACAACTTGGCAGCATTTTCAAACATTTATCTTCTGTTTTCTAGGAGATGTACGAGTAAGAGGTCAGACAGGGGTTCCTGCGGAACGCCGTGGCTCCTACCCATTCATTGACTTCCGCCTTCTTAACAGTGAGTAATTAAACATACCTGGAAAGAAAGAGATTTTCTGTTTAAAAAAAAAATCTTAATTTTCCTCTGAACTTCAAAAATCTTCTGATGCTTTCCGTCCTTAACTTCCTTCCTTCTCCATATATCTCCTCCCAGCCCAGCCTTTAACTTTATTGTGTCTGTTTCCTACTCTAACAATAATATTACCCTACCCTAATTCTTAGTTGTGTGGATTAAATAAGATATCAAATGTCAAATTGCTTGAGAAGGTTATACATTTGCTGGTTCCATTAGGAACTGGTTACTAATCATAGTTCTTCATTTAAATATCTTGTTCCTCAAACAACCAACCTTAACTTTGAGCTTGAGGGGAGAAGTAGATACATTTCAAGTTTTGCTTTAACTGATGCAAAGAAAAAACAAAAGCAATAGCTTACATTTTAATGGGACAGATGACATATGAAAAACAACATACAAGACAAATACAAAATGAATGGAAAGTAACTTTTGAAGGAGTAGCACTAGCCGCTGGTAGAAACAGGAAAGTCTTCCTTGACTTGGCACTTGAGTCAGTCTTAAAGAAAGCTACTAGCATTCCAAGAAGGAGAGAACAGCCAGTACAAAGGTATGGCAATGGGAAGCAGAGTGTCATGTGTGAGAAACAACAATTAGAACAGCATATATAAATTATCAATGATGCGGAACTGCAGCCTGAAGACTACATGTGGCCTTCTAGGTCCTTGGGGGCAGCCTTTTGACTTTTGAGTCCAAGTTTTACAGAAGAAATCCTTTTATTAAGGAAATTTGTTCCGTGAAGTTTGGATTCAGTCAAAGAGCCGCACTTAAAGACCTAGTGGGCCATGCTTGGCCTCGAGGCCACAGGTTCCTCAACCCAGGACCAGATCATAGAGTATGAGGAATGGAAAAGGAAACAAGTATGTATTAAGTACCTATCCTCTGTGCCTTAAGCATTTTACAAATATTATCTCATTTGATCCTCACAATAACCTTATGAGGTAGGGGCTTTTATGATGCTGCTTTACAATTGAGAAAACTGAGATTGTGACTTACCCAGGGTCATGCAGTTACTAAAGTGTCAGACTGGATTAGAACTTGGGTCTTCTTGACTCCAGCCCAGCACTCTATGCGCTCTGACACCTCACTGCCTCCTGTATGTGGAAAGGACAGTAGCACAAGAAGACTTGTAAGGGTAGGAAGGGGCTGGGTTGGGTTATGAAGATTTTTAAATGTCAAAAAGAGAATTTTGTATTTCATCCTGTAGATAAGAGTCTCTGGAATTACTAAGTAGAGGAATGACATGGTCAGATCTATGTTTTAGGGAAAATTATTTTGGCAGCTGAATTGTAGAATGGATTGGAGCAGGAAGATACTTGAAGCAGGGAGACCAAAGAAGACTGTCGTGGTAGTCCAAGAGAGAGGTGTCAAGGGCCTTTGGTGGGTGTATGAGTGTAGAGAAGGGAATATATGGGAGAGATGTTGTAAAGAAAAAAATTACAAGATTTGTCAACTGATTGAATAGATGCAGTGAGTGAAGGAGAGTCCAGGATGACACGAGGCTGAGAGAGCAAGGGTGCCTGGAAGGATGACAGTGCCCTTGACAGTAGAAGGGAAGTTGGGAAGAGGAAAAGAATTGGCAGGAAAATGATGAATTCTGTTTTGTACATATTGAATTTGAGATGCCTGTGGGACACCCAGTTCTAAATGTTTAACCATCAGTTTGTGACAATGGATAAAAGTTTAGTAGAGAAACCAAGGCTGCATATATAAATTTGGGAATCATTTGCATAGATGTGACCATAGAATGCACAAGAGCTAAGCATAGGACCAAGGAAGAGAGTCTAAAGAGAAAAGAGAAGGCCCAAGAGAGAACCTTGGGGAACACCCACAGTTAGTGGGTACAATGTGGATGAAAGTCCAAAAAAAAAGCAACTAAGAAGGAACTAATCAGGCTGGTAAAAGGAAAACCAAGAAAGAAAGAAAACCAGAAAGAAGAGAATATCCAGAAGGATAGGGTGGCTGACAGGGTCAAATGCTAAATAAAGACCAAGAAGGATGAGCAGCTAGAGCAGGCCATTAGATTTGACAATTAAGAGATTGTTGTTAACTTTGAAGAAGGCCACTTCAGTTGGGCAATGAGTTTAGAGGCCAGATTATAGAAGTTTAAAAGCAAGGGAAAAGAAAGGAATTGGGGGGAACTAATATAGATGAGTTTTTTTTTCAAGGAGACAGGATATTCAAGGAGAAGGATGATAACTAGGAGATATGATAGTATCTAGTGAGGGATATTTTTTAAAGGATAAAAGAAATTGAATATATTTCCAAGCAGCAAAAAAGGAACTAATACATAGGGAGAGAATGAAAATTAGAGTGGGAGAGATGGTGGAAAGTAGTCTGCTGAGAAAGTCAAAACGGAATGGGATCAAGGATATGGGTAGAGTGTTGACCTTGTCAAGAAGGGCCATCTCACCATCAGAGACTGAAATGAAGGAAAAGATAGTAAGGGACAATAATCAAAGGAATGTGAGATGGAGAAGAGAGAATAAGCTCTCAGCAAATGTGATTCATATGGACTGTGTAGTATACAATGACAGAAAATAGTTTTTTGGAACATAAATCAAGTTATGGTTCCATATATTTCTAAGCTATTCATCTTCAAATGAAAAAAAGTGATCTCAGAATCCTTTCATCACTGAAACAGTCTAAGGGACTTGGAATACATGAATAGATTTCAGAGGGTTTCATGAACTTGGGTGGGGAAAAGAAATTACATCTTCGTGTTCACTAACCTCTAATTAGAATTTAGCATTTCCTTCAGTTATGAATTTTAAATATATACATTACACATTGTATATTTATATATAATTACATACTACGTGTGTACATATGTGTGTACATATATTTGCACATACATATGTGTATGTATCTGATTAGGAGGGGGTCAGTAGTTTTCACCAGACTGCCAAAGGATCCGTAACACAAAAAAGGTTAAGTCCCCCTGGTCAAGAGAATGGCTGGAATTAGTTCATTCCAAAGTCATTTTGAGGAGTGAAAAAGGAGGAGAGAGAAAATAAATTGACAAACACTTCACAGACCATTAGATGTAAAACTAAGCAGTCCTCTTCCTGGTTTTCAAAATTAGCCTGATAACACATGTCGTGGAATATACAACATGCAATAAATGAAAGAATTATATAAATCTCCATTATGTACACTATGAGTGGTTGCAAAGCTCTCTGAAATTATTTTCATATTTTGAAATTTAAAAATCAGTCATTGATATTTAAGTCATTTAGTCAAAAGAAATATGGTGATAAAGGTTAAAGGTTGTGGATAATCTTATATAAACTACATTCATGTAGCAATGTATATTTAATATTATATATGTAATTTATATAGGGGGGTGTGTGTGTGTATTTGTTATAAACTTCTAGAGGGCAGGCTTTGGCAGTGCACATGATGATAGCAATGCAGGCTGGTCTACCAGTGACTAATTAGCCAGTGCGCATACTTAACCTATTTTCAGATTCTTCAGCTTCTCTCTTCATGCTAAATTTAAATGATGTGTTGAGTGTGGCACAAGTAATGGAAAGTATTTGTTACACCAATTACTTCATTATTTCAGTTGCCCCATAGTATCTAAGTCCTTGTAACCCCAGTTCACTATGGGTCCCAGTACAAATAACTGCCTCTATGTGGAAGATGTGTGCCTCTGTGTTGTCTAAGGACAACATATGTGTGAGGGTACATTTGCATCTTTTTTCTCTATGAGATTATAAACTCAATGAGAGCAAGACCATGTTGTATCATCCCCAAGCACCCAATAGGTAACTAGGTGGCCACAATGGATAGAGCACTGGTCCTGGAGTCAGGAAGACCTGAGTTCAAATCCAGTCTTAAACACTTACTATCTGTGTGACCCTGGGCAAATAACTTAACTTCTATCTGCCTCAGTTTCCTCATCAATAAAATAGCACCAACCTCTCAGGGTTGTCATGAGGATTAACTGAGATAATATTTGTTGGCTTAGCACAATACCTCACACATACATAGTAGGTGCTTAATAAATGCTTATGTCCTTCCTTCCTAATACAGAGGCCTGTAGTAAAGTGCATCATCCACCTTTGGTTCTTTGTAGAGGTCATTTCCTCCACCTAGGTTGCCCTTCCCGCTCCTCTCCAACAACTTTTGTCTCCAACACCTCCTGATACCAGTTCAAAACTAAATCCTTCCAGGAAGCCATCCTTGATTAACCTTTAGTCTGATCACTCTTTCACTGCAGTTAAATGCTGATTTAGTACTGTCTTGACTTGAACTCATTTAGGAGGTAAAAAGGTCTTAAGTCTTTTAAGGATCATATTCTGTACAACTTCATTAAAAAGTGTTTTCTGTGCAATTCCAACTAGATTGTCATGTTCTGAGGAACCCTATCTTCCATTTCTACAGTTACTAAGCCCCTTCATAGCACCTAGGATGCTGCTCAATCAGTAAATGCTTAGAGTCATAGAATCTCAGAGATGGAAAGGACTTCAAAGGTCATCCAGTTGACATCCAATCTGAGTGAAAATCCACTCTGCAGCATCTCTGACAAGTGGTCACCCAGCCTCTAGACTTTCAAGACTTTCAGTGATAGGGAACTTAGACAGTTCACTCCAGTTAGAAATCTTTTCCTTGGGGGGCAGAGCCAAGATGGCAGAGTGAAAGCAGTGACTTGCTTGAGCTCTCCCCCAAACCCCTCCAAATGCCTATAAAAAAATGACTCTAAACAAATTCTAAAGCAGAAGAACCCACAAAAAGACAGAGTAAAACAAATTTCTAGCCCAAGACAATCTGGATGGTTGATCAGAAAGGTATATCAAGCTGGGCGGAGAGAGGAGCACAGTTCAGTGTGGGTGCGCAGGCCACAGCGACCCTGGAAGATTGAATTGTGGGCAGCTGTGGTGGTTTCCAGACTTCTCAACCCACGAACACCAAAGACAACTTAGAAGGTTAGTGGGAAAAGT